CTGTCTTTCATTCTTATTAAAAGTAAAATGAGCTGACCAAAAATCATAATCAAATAAAGACTAATTTATCACTCATCACTTCCCCCCCAAAATTATTTAGTATTACAGTGAATTAGCTTGTTTTTCTTACATCACATACATTCATGTGTAAGAAATAAGATGAATTTTTAAGAAAACTTAACAATGAAGAATAAAATTAGCACTTTAAGAAGAATTAAGTTTAAGTTACATGTGTATGCAGAGGCACAAAGATTTTTTTTTATTATTATTATTCCTGCACCTGTGTGACTGTCTTGCATATTTGGAATATAAACTGCATGTGTCTACCTGAGTTAATAGTTTCAGGGAGCTAGAACTCTTTGATGGTGTTTTATGCTAAATAAATAGGCAGAACAGGAAGAGGTGTGTTTGGGAATATAAGAAACGATGATAATAAAGCACTTAAAATACGATCAAACAAAATACTACTATCTTTCCTCAAGTAACGATGACATATTATATTGGTGCTCAGTTTAACAAAGGCCTGTCTTTAATGGCATGAAAACTTCAGAGAGAAAAAGAATAAAAGGAGGGGGAAAAAGGAGAAGCATTTTTTACCTGCTTTTTTTTTTTTTGGAGAGGTTTTCACTATAGGGCGCGTGCGCTCGCCAGACAGAGAGAGACACAGAGACAGAAAGCGAGAAATCATCCCCTGGGGGGATGGTCATGCCACAATCCCTTCTCCTCCATTCTCCTCTTGGGATCTTGGGCACGCACGCACACGCGCCCAGCGTGAATTTTAAGCCACCGAGTCCGGGACGCGAACCGCGGTTGACTACATGGGAGTCCAGCGACATAGCCATTACGCTAACTGCTGGTTCCCACCTGCTTTTAATAAAATGGTCAAAGTGATAATTAAGTGGCATATATTAAAGGGTGTTGTTCTATTAACAATATAATACAAAGTCTTAATTATCATAGTATGTTTTACCTGAAAAACTGAAAGCACTGTGCAAGATAATTACTAATTTCACCACAATCAGAATTGTGCCTTACACAGAGAAAACATTTTACAGATGGGAAATAAAGAGGAGCAGAAAAATGACTCTTCCTCGGTCACAAAATTTTTATATAGCATAGCTAAAAACTCAATACGTGAGTATTGACTCCCACAGAAAAGTTTTCTGTGAATACTTCAGGCTAAAATTTTTCGAGGGGAATTAAATAGTCTAGTGGTTAAGACCCTGGACTCCCAGTGGTTGACTGTGGTTCAACTCCTGGACCCAGCAGCTTGATATTCACATGGAGTGCAAGTGTGTGCATGCCCAAAACCCTGAGAGATCTTTCTCTTTGTCTCTTCAGTGAACTCACATGCCCTAGAGCAAAAACCTCTTTTTAAATAAAGCAAAAAAAAAAAAAAAAAGATTTGTACTGATTTTATCACGAAACATAAGTTAGTTTTTGTTTTCTAATTGTCAGAAAAAGTTTGGAATCTAGTAGCACAACATATTTTACATTTCCACAGGTTTTAATATGATAGGAAAGTATTAGTATTTCCTATCCCCTTGTACATTGCATTTTCAACCGTAATACAACCAATGTCTTTGCTTTGGAGCAACGTTAGGGAGTAAATAAGGTTTTGTCACATAAACATTTTAGTTCCAACTGTCATTTATAACTCCTTTTAGGAGCCATATATGTAGTTTAAATACAGATAGTTTGCAGGAAGAATGGTTTATAGTACCAAGATTTTCTGAGACCTAAAAACCTTTCCCATTGTTTTGGTCTCTTTTCCCAAAAGACTGGGAAAGTAATTCTTCTCCATCACACTTTTTTTTTTTTAAACAGCTCTATTCAGGACTAGAAGAATATGCCTGAGATATTGCAATGAATGTATTAAAGTAGGGGGAAAATAGACAGCAAATTAGCAATTGGGAGCCATTGACACCTTGCTAGTAATATGATTTATATGAATTTTGTCCGCACCAAAAATTGAAAAGTGATTCTGCCTGCCCAAGTTGGCTTTTTACCTTAAGACATTAGAAACAAAGAGTTTTGGGGATGGAGAGACCTCAGAGTAGATCCTTAGTGCACTTTTTTATTTATCAGATAAGAAAACTGAAGTCCAAAAGGGTTAAATTGACTAGCTCAAGTGCCTAAAGGTAGATGATCCAGAGCCAAGGCTAGAAAAGCAATTTACTACAAATGGTGCCCCATTAAGCTGAAAATTGCTACTGGATTAAATAAATCATCAAGGGAAATATATATATATATATATACACACACACACATACATACAGAGGCTACTAAACAGTTTACAGGTTTTTAATTAATAAATTTTAATAGTCCTACATCAATAGACTGAAGAGACATTATCTGAATTGGTACTTTTCCCAAGGCCTGTTGAGACACAGTAATACTTCTAAACATAATATAATACTAAATAAAGGTTTAGGTGGCTAATGCCTTGGAATGAAACTTACAACAGCGGGCCATTATGAATAATTCCACAGAGGGGTGCACACAGATGACCCAAAGTGAAGAAACAGTTAACTGCAGCGCCCTACCTCCTTGTTGTAAATAATCAAGGAAAGTCAAAAAAAAAAAAAAAAAAGCAATACAAAATGTCACCACAGGCTGACGCTCTTTCTACAAGAATAATGAGATTCTTGCTACCTCGGATGCTGAGCACACATTTCATTGCCTTTAAGTCCGGATTCAGTTTTTGTGATTCACATGTATCTTTTCCCCTTCTTGGAAACAGGAGACATGGCAAGTCTAAAATAGATAATGACCAGGTAGCGACTACAGGCGAAAAGACCTGCAGGAGTAGTTTCACAAACTAGAGGTTTCGTCCTCTAGGAGTGGACAGCTACTATTAAAACTGTTCCGGAAATGAAGGGCGTCAGGCGGGGAAGTCGGTTGGCCACTTGGCCTAAGCCAGCCATTGGCACCGCGCCCCCACCGGCTCTGCTCTGCAGAGGGCGCCGACGAAGGCGCGCTTTGCCGTCCAGGACTGCCTTCCCAGTGTAGACGCGGCGCCCTTAGTAGCATAATCCTTCCTCTAAAAACACTGACACCGCACTCAGAATTTCGCATGGGGCAAACCGGACGATTCAGGGAAACCAAGAATCTGGGGGTCTGCGGCATCCGTCAGCAGCGATTGGCGGCGGTGCGAGCGTTCACGGAGGTTTGCCCAAAGCTCCCAACTCTGTGCTCGCTGGACACCCGATCTGCGGCGCCAAAAAATAAATAAATAAAAATCGCCGCGAAGGAGGTCCAAAGCGGGACCTTTCTCCTTTTATCAATTAAACGTGTAGGAAAACCTGTCCACCGACGTGGCCCAACTGAAAATAAATTCCAGCACGACCTCACAGAAAGGTAAACCAGGCGTGTGCTCCTCACGATAGGGGCTAGAGATGTAGGTGAGATTACACTCTTCAAGTCAGGAGAGGGTTAAACGGATGGCCACCTCTGGGCGTGTGCATCTTTGCATTTTACCAACTACCTCACTTTTTCCTCCCATTTTGACTTTCCCCTGTCTCCAGAGTGCCCTTCCTTCCCCCATCGGAAACTGGGGCCCTGAAAAAGTGAAATCCACCGTGCCAGATCTAGGGAATCTTTCCTTTCCACCCCCCCAATGTTTCCACCCTTCCTTCGCTTCAACTCTGGTTTCACAGTCCCTGCCCAGAACAGATTTGTCACAGAGCCTGGGTCTCAGCCTCAGAAACAGCAGGTGAGCTCATTACCTCACTCAGAAATGTAACTTTAATGGAGAGATCTGGAGAGGGCCTCCCACACACACACTCAGCAACAGCAACAGCAGTTCACACACACTTGTGGTCTCTCAGGCTTTCTCCTCCGGCCCCACTTCCCCGTCTTTCCTGGAAGAAATTCAGAGGCTTTCAAACCTCCTCTGTGGCCTCAGCTTGCCAGCAACTGAATGGATGTGCAGGAATAAAAGGTGTGGAAAAGGGTAAGAACCAACAAGCCAAAATAACAGGAAGTTGGACTTGAACAGGCGACTGCGCAGAAAAAGACAGAAATTACAACTTCAAAGGGGAAAAAAAATCCCCAAATCCTCAAGTCAGGCAAGGAGATGAACCTGCTGCTCTGTTGAGTGACAGAGCTAGCACACAGAATGCCCTGCTAGGATCAACTCTGTCAGCCCCTGGCAGGCCTGAGGATGTCAGGGCCAGGGGACATCCCGAGAGTAAGGACAGGGATTCCCCTAGAGATATTTTAGTTGCTGGGAATTTTGCCTTTTTTTCTTTTAAGGCTCAGTACAGAACTGAGAACTGAGCTCTATGGCAGGTCCTGGAAATCCACAAGCTCCTTTTCTAAGGTCTCACAACCTGGCTGCTCATTCCAGGTCAGGTATCCTTATTTGCCTGCCGTCACCCCTACATCCACCATCCACCCGGACAAAAGCGGGGGGAAGAGGGGGGGCTTTAAAGTCACAACTTAAGCATTAAGAGGGTTAAGGGGGTGAAAAAACCCCTTCTTTCTCGTCTATTCCTCCCATCTTTTTCTCATCTCTCACCAAAGGGAAGTTACTGGGGGGATTTATCAAGAAAAAGTGAGGGCAGTTATTTCATCCGGAGAGCTAAGCGAAAGGAAAACTGCCCGGAGCTCAGTGACGTGGACTTCGATACCGAGAGACTGGAGGGACTGTCAGAGGGCGAGAGCCCGCCGCCTAGCCGGGAGCCGCAGGGACAAGGAGAGAGACGGTCGAACCCTGCCCGCGGGCCCCTGCAGCCCAAGCCCCCGCAGCACCCGAAGTTCCTGGAAATGTACCCAGTCCCCCCAACGCCCGCTCGCTGCCCAAACTTGAGCCCAGAAGCCGAGCCCAAACGTGCGGCACAGGTGACCGAGTCTAGGGCCAGCTCCGTGCCGGTCTGCCGCCCCGTACCTCCCCGGCGTTCCCGGGGCGCACAGCCCGAAGCGCGCGTGGCCTGGACCGGGACCCAGGAACTGCCCAGCCCACGTAGCTCCGGGGCTGCTCCGCGGCCCTTGCTCACCTGGCCGGAGGACCGCGGCGGAGATCAAGAGGCAGAAGAGCAGACGGCAGGAGGGGCCGCTCTTGGATGCCATATTCCTCCTTCTCGGGGGCCACTGACACAGTCCACGCCGCAGGAGGGGGCGTCGTCCTGGGCCCCGCGGTGCCGGCGTGCTCGCGGGTCCCGGTGCTGGGGGCAGCGGCTTCTCCTAGACACGCCGTCCCCTGGGCTGTGGCGCGGCACCTTCGGGTCTCTGCCGCACGGAACTTTCCACCACGCACAGCCCCCAACTCCTCCCTCCCCCGCACCCGCCCTCGGTCCCTCCGCAGCTCTGGCCGGGACCTGCGACCCTCTCTCTTTCCAGGAGACACTTGAGTAATTCGGAACGGTGGACGTGGTTCTTCTGGGCTGGTGTCTTTTATTTCCCTCTTCTCGCTCTAATAGTAATAACGGTAGTGGTAGTGTGCATAAGCGGCCCAGCGCCGGGAAGGAATCGCCGGCGGCGGCGACAGGGGGCCGGCAGGTGTCCTCAGGTGGCAGCTGGGGAGCAGGGAGGGCAGCGGCAGCGGCGGCGGCGGCGGCGGACTCCGGCTGCTCTGAGTGGAGGACTGGAAGGCGTGTGTAAACTGCCTCTCTCCTCCTTCCCCGCCTCCTCCTGCCCTCCCCACTCTCCCCGCTTCCCAGGACGCTGCGCGGAGCAGGTGGCTGGAGCGCCGATCCGCAGCCTAGAGGCGCTGCAGGACCGAGTCCGGGACCGAGCCCAGCTCCAGGACTCTGGCGGGGGGAGAGCGACTGCTCCAGCCCAGGAGCCCGAGTGGGCGGGGCATCCCGTGGCTCCGCCCCCGTGGCCACACCCGCCTATGGGGAGCCGGCACCGGAGCCCGGCGCATCTGGGAGGGCCCCCTGGAAGGACCGTTCCTGCGGTGGTTACGCGCTTTCTGCATGTGGCCTCCCGCTTGCCGCTGCCCACCCAGCCTCGCCGCGGTTCAAAGATCCAGACTGCCCTCTTCTTGCCCTCTGCCCCCAACCTACTGGCTCACTCCTCGGAGACTTTTCTCCGCTCAGAGGCTGCAGCCTCCCTCTCTAACGAGTAGTGAGTGGGGCGGAGCGGTGGGAGCCGGGTGCGTACCTTGGGTCCAAGGGCGGTGGAGAAGGCGGAGGGAAGGAGCTGGGGGAGGTGGCAAAGGTGGAATCTGGCTTCTGGGAGAACTCAGAAACTGTACCAATCCCTCCCTTACTTTCCCTAATACCGTTCACCTCCATTCTGTCTCCTCCTGTGCCTCGCACACTCCTTTTAAAGGGAGATCACTTGAATCGGCTGCCCAGTACCTAACCGAGGATTTTCGCTATTTCCCGCGGGAAATTACATCAGGAATTTGTAGACCATTCTTCGTCATACGGATTTTCCCAGTATCTACAAAGCCGGAGCGTGTGTCACTTTTATTTTGAATTAAGCGGCGATTTGAAGTTACAAATAGAAAATTCTCAAGTTACTCAGATTAAAAGCCAAGCTCCTCCTGATCTGTTCAGAAAGCCTGGCACCTCAGCAGATGGACAGGCTTCTCTGGCAATTTCTAAAGAATGAACCGCCTCCCAAGCGGAACATCGGGAAGCTGTGTCGCTTTCAGATCAGGCAGAGAGCATGAAGGAATATATTCCTCTAGAATACTGGGGTGGAGCTGTCGGAGCCCTAAGTGACTCTAAATCAGGGATGCGAGATCACAACTCTCATCCCCGAAGCATAATAAAATCTTGGTCCCTGAACCACTTCGATGGGGCATTAAACAGCCTTCCGTGCATCACAGGGTCACCCTGTGCGAGGTTGTCTCCAGCAGAGAATGCCAACTGGTAATCGTCACGTACTGAGCTTTTCAACAGAGGGCTTCCAGTAACCAGTTTAAAAGGGGGGGGGGGGAGGAGAGACTAGAGGCAAGAGAAATTTAGCGTGCACACACATGCGTGTACACACACTGATTTTGAATTATATATTCTTTTGTGCTCAAAACTACTAAGCTCCATCTTGAGTTGTAATTTTTCTCAAAAGTCTGCCCGTCTTGTTCTTCTGGTTCTCTGCACCTTAACGGTTTTTAAGAATAGAACTCCTTTCTGTCTCTATGTCTCTCTCTGTCTGGTGAGCGCACGCGCCCTATAGCGGAAAAAAAAAAGGAATAGAACTGCTATATTATATTTTTTCCTCTCCGAATAATAGCTTTCCCCCCTGGTTTTAACATTAACATTTTATTTGCATCTTATAAATCAACAGGAAGCCTAATGTTAGGCTGTCTTGGGTATTCCATGAGCTAAGTTTGGTTCAATTTCTAGCATTCTGATGAGATCCTGTGGAATTCCTTTAGGGAATTGTTTTTCCTTCACTATGGTTGTAAGTCGTGTGTATTAGAACAAATCATCCTAAATATGTATTTAATCTGCATCCTTGGCCTGTCTATCTAATCCTTATTTTGGGGTGGGTATTAATCCATCATAATCCTCCAGAAATGGATCTGCTGGGCTGCCCTGTGACCTGGTGGTTGACAGACCTGGAGCCTACATGACCGCCATGTGGTTTGCATCCAGGACCAATGGCCTGGCATATATGCATGCTGCCCCAAGTCCTGTGCCATAGAGAAATGGAGGGAAGGGATTGCATGTGACCATGACCCGTTGGGGGCGCTTTCTTTCTCTTCCTCCTTTTCTCTCTTTGGTCAGTGCGTGTACCCTCTGGCAATTATTTTATAAAATTAAAAATTTTAAAAAATGTATAAGGACATCTGCTGGAGGCTTATTTGAGCTCTAACACCAACTATATGAAATCACTCAACTCACATGTAAAATGATACAGTAGTGCTAACCTCATGGAACTGCTATGAGAATCAAACGAGATCACATAGACAACGGGCCATATATAGCAGAAGGAGCTCAGGCTTTAGGGAGTAGACAGTGTCTTGTGACAGTTCTTGTTCTGCATTTATTCAGTGAGTGACCTTGAACAACAGTCAGTCTCTTATAAAGTATGACAGCCATTACAACAGCAGTCCCCAACCTTCCTGGTATCAGAGACTGACCACATGGAAGACACCTTTGCAATGGAGGGCAGGGCAATAGGCCATACAGTGGTACCAGTCCCCTTTCAAAGGCATGCTGTTACACTGGATCAAAATACATCTAAGGATGTTATACACACATGAACATACACATGGAATCCTGGAAGCAACTGACTATACATACAACTATACCTTACACGCACACAAACACGCATATACTTTTATGTTTACATGTATATACAAGTATATTTGTATAGTCAGTTTTTCGGGGTTTCTCTTAAAGAGGAATATGTCCTGGTTTAAGAATTTGTCATGATAAGCCACTTGGAGCAATAAATCCAAAGGCTATTGCTCATACATAGCTAATACCACAAAAATACTGATGAAACTGCTTTGTATTAAAATATAAAAAATTAAGATGGGAATTTGGCAGGGGCGTGGGTTGGGCTGCTGAGACGAGAGGAAGAGCAAGGGTCAAACCATAACAGCATGAGTGTGGAAATGGTCAAAGGTTTAAAAATATATTTTAGTTGATCAGCCACATATATAAAACACTTACTGTATGTTAGGTTATTCTAAACAACTTGCATGAATTAATGGAAATAATTCCCCCTCACGCATATACTTTTATGTTTACATGTATATACAAGTATATTTGTATAGTCAGTTTTTCGGGGTTTCTCTTAAAGAGGAATATGTCCTGGTTTAAGAATTTGTCATGATAAGCCACTTGGAGCAATAAATCCAAAGGCTATTGCTCATACATAGCTAATACCACAAAAATACTGATGAAACTGCTTTGTATTAAAATATAAAAAATTAAGATGGGAATTTGGCAGGGGCGTGGGTTGGGCTGCTGAGACGAGAGGAAGAGCAAGGGTCAAACCATAACAGCATGAGTGTGGAAATGGTCAAAGGTTTAAAAATATATTTTAGTTGATCAGCCACATATATAAAACACTTACTGTATGTTAGGTTATTCTAAACAACTTGCATGAATTAAATGGAAATAATTCCCCCTCAAAAAAAAAAATCCCATGAGTTAGGTACTGTTATCATCTACACTTTGCTAATGAAGAAACTGAGGCCTGGAGACATGAAGTAACTTTCCCGAGGTCACACAATGATTCACTGCATTGGTAAAATCCACTCTGACTCAAAGGCTGAGTTATTATCCATTTTGCTCGTCACTATCCACTTTGCTCGTTGGAGATTTCCAACAGTAAATTCATGACATTGTTTGGTGGTGGTGGTGGGACTTGATTTAAATATAAATATCTTCATCTTCCCAAAACTTTGATAAAGCCTGACACTCTCAAACACATTTTCATTGAAGAAATTAATAAGGCAGCACATCCTATCTGCTTGGCCAGGTACAGTGCATTTGAGATGACAAGAACATTTCTAACTGGAAATAATGTAGCATAGAGCTCAGAATTAGAAATAAACACGAGACTGTAAGCTCCATAAAATAATGTAGGAAAGAGAGAGTATTTGTCTTTCAAAATCTAGGGAATAAGGACTTAGATCCACTTTGCCTAGTTCTCAAGAGGAAAACCGTTTCTAGCTACATCTGGATTATAGTTGCTTTTGTTACAACTGAGAATACATAGTATTCCAGTGATATTTATCAGACAGTTTAGTCACGCAACAGAGCATGGTGATGGGTACTGCAATAGATAAAATGAATAATGTTTAGCTAGAGGGAAAAAAAAAGGAAAGAAAGTCATGTTACCTGGAACTTGAGAAGAGCTTTGCATTGTAGGTATAAAAGAATTCATCATCAGTCAGGACATTATGCTCAAAGCAGTGACACAGTACAGTAGGCAAGGTTCCTGCTCAGGGTCTTAAGATCAAAACATAGGACCCCTGATGCTCAGGCCAGGACCCTTTGCCCTATACTACAACATTAATCCCCTCAGTGTGTGACAACACAGTCAGGCCAGGCATGTGTCCCTTTGAAGAATGGGGATGATTTTTCTCTCCTGATGAACCTCACATTTTTTCTACTTGAAATGAAATTTTGCCAAAGGTGTTTTGGGAAACAAGATTTTTGTTCTCTGCCACTTAATACCATACTATTCTGTGTGCCTTTCTGCTCTTTACATAAAACTTAATTAATTTAAGAGCCTAAAGCAAATCAAGTTCACTTTCTCCCCCCTCCCCAATTGGTGAACCCACATGTCTAGCTAATACATTGCGAATAGATAAGATATTCCATAAAGATTTGTGAGTGAATGGTACGTAGTGAAAAAGTAGTTTTAAAAATAGAATATTAATCCTTAAACAGACAAACTTACCAGGGGAAGTGATATGAAAAAAATAGAGATTTCCATTGGATCTTCAATGATTGGACTGGTCAGAATAAGATTTAGGAAAGGTAAAACAAATAAGTCAAATCCTAGTCACCATGGTGAGAACTTCAATATATAAAGTGAAGAAACAATCTACACAAGAAAGAAAGCAGTAAAAATTATTTACCACCCATGAGAATAAAACTAAAAGCATGCTGAGAACAAAAGCCTTCAATAAAAGTCAATTAATTAATAAAAGTTCCAAGTGACCCAGAAAGAGATGGGAAAAAATCTACACTAAGGTACTAATGACAAAGGCTGAAATAGCGAGTTCCATTAGATTTTTATTAAGTCTAGGAAGATGTATTATGTAAATGAGGCATAGAGATTACATACATATAAGATTAAACTCTGTTTCATTTCTGGAACTCCAAAGTTTTT